CGTGAACAGCGGATGCTGTGAAGCGAAAGGCGGTTACGTGATGTTCGGCCGAGGTCTTGACGGAGCGAGGTGCTGAGCGATGGAGCAATGATCCCGGCGGCGGCAGGCGGCGGCGGTGACGATCGGTGCTCGGTGCTGCAGGGTCTCCTCCGGGTCTTGTTCCCGAGAGGTAGAATCCCACCTTCGTCGCCAGTAAAAAGTACTCAGAACGTGGAGTGATTCAGCAAAGAGTACTTTATTAGTGAAGAACAAAGACAAGAACCCCCGGCACGCAGGCCGGTATATATGCTCAGAAACCCACCACCAAAACACACCCCCTAGTGACCCTATAGGTTATTTACAGTGGCCGAGAGTCCCATTGGCTCTCGGCCGCGGACCTGGCCCTCTGGTTGGTGCGGGCTAGGATCCGCTCCGCTATTGTTCTGCAGGGACGAAGCTCTGGGCTTTTGCTTGACCGCATGGCCCAACGGTCGCGCACGTGGTAATGGCGGATACATTACACATCATATGCTGGAATAAATAGGGTGCATTACATCACCTACCTTTCTGGTTTGCAATCTTTCCATCAGGGCAAGGAACACAATCGTAACAGCAAAATTTATCCGCTTCTTTCTTCTGCTTCTGAGAACCAGGAAGGCAGTATTCATTGCACCGTGAAATGGGCACCACCTAGCCAAAAGCATAATAGGCCTTTAGGACTTGTTCTTTTTTGATCATGGGGATGGAATAAAAGACATCAATGATAAGTAAGATTTTTCATTTAATTTCTCATTTAATTACCCTTTATAATTGTTTTTGTTGTTGTTGTTATACTTCTATATACCTTTTTGTAATTTCAGTCCTCACAAGGTCTTTTTTTTAAATAATATGACACATTACTGGGTGCTCCAGCAGGAGGGTAGAAAGATTTAGAAGATGATTCCTGGCTCTGCACATCTGCAGAATGAAAGTCTGAGATTTTGTAGAACCTCATGAACATCTGCACATGAACGTATGAATCAGACCATTGGCTGATCGAGAACAGTATTGTCCAGCAGAGGTGGTCTCCAAGATCTTAGGCTGAAGTTTTTCCCGTCTTCTGCTGTCTGGCTGTTTTAACTGAAGATGCCAGGGACTGAACTTGCTATCTTCTGTAGTCAAAGCAGAAGCTCTTCCATTGAGCCACAACCTCTCCCTACAGCCTCCCTTCCTGCACCTCCTGTATTTCCAATTTGCTAACCCTGGCAGATGTTACTTCTGGAATCTTGTTTCTGAAAATGAGATTGACTACTCTGCTCAGTGGCTTGTTCCATAGAATAATTTAAGGTATTTATCTATCTAGGCATGTAAATGAAGCTTTCCTTTAATGGAGCCCAACCCCCAATGGCTTATGGGGGAGGAGTACAAAAGGAAGGAAGTACACAACAGAAACCCCTGGGCTGGTTCTAGAACCACTGGACAGCTGACTCATAGCCTCAAGCAAACAGCGAAGGGGCATTTTAGCTCTTGCCTTCCGCTATCACCAAAAGACTTTCACCTCCAGCCATGCAAGTAGTTGCAAACAGGGAAGGAAAGAGAAGCTTAGTGTGAATGTTTTACCACTGACATAGATCTTCTGAACTACATTTGGATTTTTTTTCATAATCCTAATATATTTTAGTAACTACATGAATATAATGAACAGAGTGTATAGAATCTTAGAGTTGGAAGAGACCTCCAGGTCATTTAGTCCAACCCCCTGTACAATGCAGAAAATACACAAATACCTCCCCTGCGCCCTCCGTGACTGCTGCTCCATTCCCAGAAGATGACAAAAAACCACCAGGATCTCCAGCCAAACTGGCCTGGAGAAAAATTGCATCCTGACACCAAAGTGTCAATCAACATTTCCCTGGGCATGTAAGAAAGGGCCTCGAGAACTAAGCGCTGAGGCAACCCTTCCTGCCCTCCCTCTCATGTCAGCATTGCTGACAGATGACCATCTAACCTCTGTTTGAAAACCTCCAAAGAAGGAGAGTGCACCACCTCCCGAGGAAGCCTGTTCCACTGAGGAACCTCTCTAACTGTCCAGAAGTTCTTCCTAATGTTTAGCCGAAAACTCTTCTGATTTAATTTCAACCCATTGGTTTCTGGTCCAACGTTCTGGGGCAACAGAAGACAACTCTGTACCATCCTCTATCTGACAGCCCTTCAAGTACCTGAAGATGGTTATCATATCCTATATAGAAAACATACATTAAAAAAAATATGACTGGAGATAGTTGCAACTCAAGCCATCCATTGTAAGAGTCCTACTATGCAGAAAAGGAAATCCCCCAACCTTGGAGCAGCCGACCCAGTAATAGAGGTGCCTCTGTGACCATCCCAGAATACACACCTGGTTGAAGCGGCTCTGCCACACAATTCTGTCCACGTCAATGATCAGTTCGTTTCCTTCAAAAACCTCAGGATTCAGTTTTCCAATTCTCATTTTATCATATGACTTGTTTGGGAATATGACCAAGTTCATGACATCAAATCCACCTTCCACTTCCTGATTAGCATTAAAAAACACTGTTTCACCTGCTGAGTTGTTAAAGGAAATACGTCGAAGAAACTGGTGCAGCTAGGCAGGAAAAAAGAAAAGAAGAAATACCATTGTGTTGGAGGTTTATGATGAGATTTACAAACAACTTTCTTTCCCGAAAACATTTTATTTAAACCAAAACAATAGTGATAACACAGTATACTGAGTACAGAAAACAAACAAGCACTGTATAAATAACGCGGACCATGGAGTGCACAAAGGTCATGCAAAGACAAATTGTATTATAACAAAAGGAAAAAATAACAAAAATAACAAGGGACCACATATATCAGTAAAACGAAATTGCATCATAAAATGTGCAAGTCCACAAATGGTATACATAAGTTCAGAAATAGTTGTTGACGAAGACTCCGGATTTTGATCTTCGTTTCGAGGATTCTTCTTCAAAGAGTTCAAACTACTTCATAAAGTACTGATAATGTACAGAAGACTTCAATCATGTATATGTAGGAAACTCCTACTGTGTGAGAGGCTTACTAACTACTTGAGAACATGTTCCACTATTGATCGGATCCCCGGCTTTATATTAGTATTAGGACTGAATTTTTCCTGTATTACTAGTCTGAAGGCTTCTGTGCTTTATGAGTGCTGTGTGAAGGAGTTTTACTTTACTGATATATGTGGCCCCTTGTTATTTTTGTTATTTTTGCTTTTTTTATAATACAATTTTTCTTTGCATGACCTTTGTGCACTCCATGGTTTGCGTTATTTATACAGTGCTTGTTTGTTTTCAACATTTTATTTAGATACAGCCTGATGAAGCAGGTATTTTTGTCTGTTGCAGAAAAAAGGTACCACAAGCTTCATTTTTTTTAAAAATGCTCTGTATATAGAATATAAGAATGTAAGAGCCTTGCTGGATCAGACCAATGGTCCATCTTGTGAAGTATCCTGTCTCACACAGTGGTCAGCCAGTTATTCTAAAGGGCCATAATCTTGTCATAGAGCCCAACGCCTCCTCCATTGATATTGCCTCCTGCTGTCAGTATTGAATAGTTTTCTGGCTCAGAAAGGGAAGGTTCCCTTTAGTCATCCTGGACACAATTGTATTTGGCTTTTTCCACTACCACAGGAGGTGGTGGAGCTATAAGCATGGATGGCTTCATAAACATGTGGATGAACAATTGGATAAACATATGGATAAACATATGTAGCTGAGGTCCATCAGTGGCTATTAGCCACAAGGTACAGATAGGAACTCTCAGTCTGGGGCATATCTGCCCCTGATGCCAACTGGCAATTCACCCCTAAACCGCTGATTTGGGTCATAAACTCATCTCCATGGACCCCTGCATGTCTGGACGGGTTGTATCAACCTGTAACTGACCCCTCTATTTGTTATCAATCACCTCTGCTTTCTCAGTTCTGTATTGTTTGCTGTTTTTGATTGCTTAGTAAGTTCATAATTACAGAAATACTTTAATAAAAATTAATTTACTCTTCAAATCTGGAGTTTTCCTATTGTGCCAGAGCTTGGTATACAAGTGGTGTGCGATTCATGTACCCCTCTGGCCTATGATGTCACATAGCTAACTTCCTGTCTGGATCAAGGACAATCCCTCTCCTGTTTTCAGGCGCTGAACTCACAGCCACCTGGGCCCTCGGGGACCTCACCAGTTCCTGGTCCTTTGTTAAAGCTTATTTGCCTCTGGGTTCCCTTTGAGGATGTACGTAGATGTTCAGCTAAAATGAAGTCTCTTTGCATTTATTCAAATTGTTCAAATAATGAAGAGCGTTTGCTAGGCAGAAACCACTCACAATCACAGCATTAACAAAACAACAACAATACTAAACTGGTGCTGGGCAGAAGCCAAGTCTCTGAACCTCCCAATACTTGCAGGCTTCCCTCCTTGGGCCAATCTTAGAACTCACTGTCTCACCCAAAGGCTTAAGAAAGAGAGTCCATTCTGACAATAACAGTCCTTGGTATTCGGCTTGAAGCTCCCCCAGGCTTCGATCCAATTCTTCTCCGACATCACTGCCATCCTGATAGGCAGCTTTTTAAGACTGTCCGGTATCTCCTTTTTGTAAGCCCCATGGCCCCTGTTAGCCAATCAGGGCATAGTTGGTTAATCCCAATTGCTATCTGGCAGCCAGCTGTCAAGGCCACCAGGTGCCTTTAATTAATGCTTGGCCCAAACAGGCTGCAACTAACCTGTAAAAATTTACAGCTTGATGGCACTTAATGGAAGCCTCAAAATCTATAGACCCTGATCCTTACACTTCCCCAAACAACTAGGCAGGCCATTGGTGGTAACAAAGTGATGCTCTGTATTCTTGGTGTGGGGAGGGCAACAGATGGAGGGCTTCTAGTGTCCTGGCTCCACTGGTGAACCTCCTGATGGCACCTGGTATTTTTGTCCACTGTGACAGTGTTGGACTAGATGGGCCATTGGTCTGATCCAAAATTGGCTTCTCTTATGCTCTTATGTTCTTATTGTACCTATCCTCCACAAATGTTTCTAATCCCCCACTGAAGCCATATTTGCTTGTGGCCATTGCTACATCCTCTGGAAGTGAATTCCTCTGTAATTGCCCATGGAGTAAATAAGTCATTCCTTGTAGCTGTCCTGGATCAATTGCCCATCAATTTCATTTGGTGACCTGTGTTCTAGTATTTTCATAGAGGTAGAATCAGTTGTCTTCACCTACTCTCTCTATGCCATGCATATATGTGTATAATCTGTGTTATATCGCCAATAAATTGTCTTTTTTTTTGAACTGATAAATTAACAGTCACTTTAGCCCTTCTTATAGGAAAGGTGTTCCATCAACACATTGGATCCCTACACAGGATGTTTTCACTGCTGATCTGAAACGTGATGAAGAAACATCGTATCTCACAACAGAACCTCACCCACACTGACAGAAATCCAATAAACAGCCTCAGAAATCATCTGGACATCAATTATAAAGAAGCTGGTAAAGGAGGAACAGTTGTTGTCATGGAAAAATCAGACTGTATTCAGGAAAATTAAAGACAGATCTTCAATATTACTTTCTACATACAACTGTCCTCAAGACCCCATTCAAGAATGCCAAAAAGAACTGATCACATAGAGGAGCAAGGCTCTATGGACACACCACAGGATCCTCAACTGTCTAACTATCTCAGTCATAGGCACCATCCCCATGGGGGTGTCTGGATATAAGAACTCTATTCTCAGACTCTATGTGATCAGTACCCCCAGTTATGTATGCAACACCAAAAGACAGCAAGTAACCCTAAACAAGTTCTCATTCACATCAGTGCACTTTCTAAGGGAGGGAGGGAGGGA